CCACGTTGGCGGACCTGCAGCTTGATCTGCTACTGAAGGCGGCAGACGGTCCTGCCGAAGAATTTTCCCGATGCAGGTCCCGTTTTGTTTTCAACCTATTTATGTCCCTATTTATGCCTCAGTTCTATACCGAAAAATAGACATCATTTACCTGGCTTATGTGGCGTTTGGTATAATCCTTCATATTACATGAAAACGTGGTTCGGAAGTATTTTATATTTCCCTCGATAGTGCCTTATCATTTCATTTGCTCCCCAGAACTATTGGTAACCTTGTTTCTTACCCATTTAACATTTTTTATCAAGAAAGAAAACACCGAATTATAAAGTGGTCATAATTTAATTTAGCTAATACCTGTCAACATGATAAATAATTCAGTTTCTGTATACGGCTGACTGGCTGTTCAGGGCTTGCGGGTATTATGTTGTTGTTGGGCAGTGTAGCTGGTGGATTTGAACTCAAATATTTCCTATTTACTGTCGAACCGGTTATAAAACGTTTTGTTCCCAAGGATTTACGCCAGACTCACGCATTAGTTTTTGGAGGCATTAAAGAGGTCAGCGGGAATTTGTATAGTGGAGTAGCGACAAAAACGAGGGAGACTGGAATGACTTATAAGCCATCATCAGCCAGTCATACCCAATCCCAAGTGTGAACTACCCGGGGATCTTTGGCCGTTGTGCCAAGCGCTCTACCGATGCGCCTCGAGTTCTTTGTCTTGTCAGTTGTGATGGAGAGTTTATGTACCCGAAAGGGCTTACGGATAAGCCGAAGCCCTTGCAACCGTATCCTGCAGCAGCACAAGATGTGCGAAGTACGCGAATCCGTGTTATTCTCCTTTATTCAAATTAAGCCTTCGATGCGTACCTTGTGCTTTGGGTTGCACTGTTCTACAATATTTTTGATTCTCTTTTCCTTGACAGAACTCGCTTCCGGGAAAATCTGCTCAGTCCAAACGAGCTTCCGCTTGACCGTCTGTTGGAGAAAGTGATGACGTCGCAACGTCAGCAACTGCTACTCGAGGAGCAGATTATTCTCCTCTGCAGGGTAATCAGAGTTTTTTTGCTCCATCCAGGCAGTCGGGTGTCTGACCAGCCCTAGCGGTACCGGGTGCAGTATATACTCATGTTCGCTAGTCGAGAAAACAAAATTCGCCAGTATTAGTTAATTTAGATTAGGTTGCAAAGGTCTTCGAATGCATTGCTTGTTGTAAATTGATACTTGCTTCACTTGGGGAAGTCTCCATCTACTTCTACAAATGTCCACAGTCGAACATATGGTGTAAAAACAGAACTTCTTGTTGTTTAGTTTGATCAGTAATAACTACTTTTTGTTACGTTGTATATTTCCTATCTGCCAATGGGAATTTCCGATTCCTGTTTTAGGAAACTAAAGCGTCCTTTGTCTGTGAAAATGCACTTAACGTAACACTTGGTAGCTAACGTGAGGTCACATAAAAGGTTGAACTACCCGTGCAAGAACCGTAACTGAGGTGTTTTAGGCACGTTCTTTGTAGGCGTTCTCATGGTTCCGGTGTTTAGATCTTTCTTTCGACATCGCTACCTTACTAGACGCGGCGAAAAGTTCAACTTAAACCACACTTCAACAGAGTCAACCAGGGTGGTTCTCAAATTTTTTTATTCTTGGAATTGAATAAGAAATTGGCTCCAAATGCTCAGATCCACTGCCATAGGTCGTCGTGTTTGTAGATATAATCGGGGATATTTTTGACACCGGTCAGAACAGGCGTGATCATAAACATAACAGTTAAATTTGCAACAAAAACGTAAAAGAAATACCAGCCAGGATCAGAGGAGTAAAATGTATATTGCTGACTTTTAAAAGTTACCAATTAGCAACACCTATGATTTCAATCAGTTTTTTTTCAACCCCCCGGCATCTTCTGCCACTTTCCCCTCCTCGCCCCCCTCCCCGTGGTCCCGCAGCCACCAGGAGTCCGCTAAGGTGTCACGTGTGGCACCTGCGATCGTTGCGAGTTTTATTTTGCTGACGAAGACTCAACTTAGCTGAGTCCCTGTCGTTTTTCTTGCCCATTAGCTTGAACGGCACGAGGACGCTCTCCGAATTCTAGTGCACGAGAGACATGACGTGGAGGCAGCTCTTCGTTACTGCAATTGGTGTGTCCTCATGCAACTGCGTCTGCGTGCTGCTAGGGAGGCAGACATGTGGTCCGAATCATCACCATCACAGCACCCAAGTGATGTCAAGGTCATTGGGTCTTCAACCGGTCCCGCCGAGCCAAACATCTACGGAACACTTTTTAGCCTCCTTCTGGATGAGTGCGTTTTGCTTGTTTTTACACATATTGACTTGCGTCAAAGCCCAATCCGGTTGTTTCCTCTGTATTGTATCGGCAGAGGGCCGTTTCACGAAGTTACCATAAATACCACTGTTTCTCTGCAGTTTGCTTTTGGTCGTTCTAAGTTTAATCTGACTACTGCTAAATTAAACTGCATCTGCAAGTATTACCCAGCAGTCATGTTTTGATTGGAGAACCATTACATACCCTAATTTGTACAAAATAACGAAAAGCTATTTGATTTTACAATGTAATACATCCTTCCAAACTATTGGGCAACTATTTTCTGTCAACGTGTTTCACCGAAATTTATCTGCGCCCTCTTTGACATCAACTTCAGTTGCCGTCTGAGCATTGGATGGATGAACTTGGCGTTTTTATTTGCACTAGCGAAATTTTATTCTATAAACTGCCGTCGGCGAGCTTCTAGAAAAGTTATAAATTTAGTGGAGCCATCAGGCAGTATGATCCTAGCCGTCGGTTGTTTGTGTCAGTTTTTTTCTTCAATTGTGGTCTTTTTTGCTTACGTCCGCGTTATTTTCCAGTCCCAATCGTTTGTAAAATACAATAGAATAGTCTGTGGCCGCTTGCGGTCTGCGCAGCTCCCTGTTTAGATCTAATTACAGATTGTTCGACTTTTACTATCCCGTAGACACTGAAATTTTGAAAGCGGAAATTTGTTCCGGATATCCAAGTTCACTCTAAAATTTCCATTCCGCACAATCGCACACGCGTCAATCCCGCAACCATTTAATCAAACTCATTTATTAAAGCTGTGCCTTTTTCGGCCTCTTATGCTTCATTTGTTTAATCTGCTTTCAGTGCCAAAAAGCCCGGATCACGCAAGCGCCTTCTCCGTCTGCTGAACTCGGAAATGCCCATGTCGGATTCGGTTGAAGTTAGTAATCTGTCTTTACTATGTTTTCTATGCGCTAAGCAATATTATAACCACTGTGGATATAGTAATACCAAGAATACTACACTACAAGCTTATTTTTAAGAGCCCTTGATGTTACATTTATATCGTATCTCCATGTAAAGTGTGTAGCTTCGTTAGCCCTTTACTTCGCATAATCTCTGAACAATCCATCAAAAATTAACTAGAAATGCGTACTTTTAATAACGGTTAACTTCTTTAGAAAAAGGATTGCTTATGTGCCTATTTGGGTCTTGAAGACTTCCTACTCTTTTCTTTCAGTACACGTTTTTCGGCCAGCGTTCACACAAGAAACTTCGTCATTTCTTTCTCTCCACTGCACTGCGACAGTCTTTTTTATTGAGGTTCATGATTGTATAGTGTGCCCTGCTTAATATTCATAACTTACTTGCACATGCTTGCGATTGCGCGTCGGATCTATCTGACCGAAAGTCTGTAGGTCCAAGAGAATGACAGAAATTGTTCCTGTAAGAATCATTGGTCGGTCGTCCCGATCACTGTCGTACCGTCGGTCGAAAACCAGATTAAGGCTTGGTTCCACGAGCGACGGCCAGATGACGGGTCCTTCCTAGAGTTCCTGGATTCGAAGCTTTACGTCTTCATCCACCCCTCTGGCATGCCAGCTTAGGGTTCGAAATTTCCCTCATCTGGCGATTGAAGTCTTTCTTCATAGGAACAATATTCGCTGTCGTAATAAAGTCGGTCCTCTTGATGTAGTCTCTTCAGTGGATCATAGTGCGGCTGGGAAGCGAAAGGCTGAAGCTACGTTAGTCCTCACTGTAAGTCGGTTCACGCGACTGCCATCTCCATCTTTCAGTCACCTCCAATATCAACCCGACGTCCCCTGGAGAGAGTAACTTGCAGTATTATAGGCGATACTGATCAATTCAGATCGTTTTCACACCACAGGTATTGATATTGAGCAGTTATTTAGACAGTCTTTTTCATCCAGAAATGCATCGCCTGGCAATTGTCTTCGCTCTCGTATGTAATCAATAACCAGCGTTTCTGGGGATATATTTTTTGCCAGTAGTAACTCGTATTATCCAAAATGACAATTCCTATTAACGTGATAGAGAAGTTCTACTAAGATCTCAAAGCTAACTGATCTTTCGTATCGAGTACATGTCAACTAATACGCTCTCTGAGCACACTATGGACCATGATCGCCCCCCGGGCCAGATATTTTTGCACACATCCACGCATGCAATTCAACTGTTCGGATTAATTTTGTCATAGTAGCCCAGACACCTTTATCTTGATCAGCGATCTCTATTTAATTGTAAATTGAAGTATATTAACTTAACACCAAATTTTATTGGTCATATAGACATCGATCTCGTGCTTTTTTCAAATAACTTATTGTTCTGGGTACTTTACCTGAGGCGACTGGTCAGCTAGGCGGTGGCCTGTTGCTGGCAATGGGAGAGAGAGTGAGGTCGATGTTCAGCGGTTTTCTTTCCTCCCTAATAAAAATCTGATGCGCTCGAAGGTATCACGGTGTGCTAAAAGCCGCGGCTTGAAGGGTTGTCAACTGACGGACACCGCAGTCAACCCAGTGTGTCTTGTGGTGTGCAGTGGCTTACTGCGGCCTAGGAGTTAGGCTGCGATGGCTCCCTCTTAATGTTGTGGCGCGTGTTTGAGTGTGTTCGCGCACACCGCCTAGGCCCTC